CAACCCAAACTGTAGAAACCCTAAAGGCTTAACAATGGTGTTTAACGAAGAAGAGAGAAACTTGTAAAACGAAAAATGAATCGAGTCCATAAACTGCCAAAATAATTCTGCTTTTATATGGTTGACATTAGGGTTGAATTTCAGCCGTTGGATCTCCTTTTTATCAACGCTCAGGATTGTTTCTGTCATTTAGATCAAAGCGACGTCGTTCTACTTAAGTGCAAATACGACAGCGTTTCAAGCCATCATCCAACAGTTGTCATTGAGCTTACATGAAACTAGGCATCAAATTCCTTTTTCTTGACAGAACTTCATATCATTCTGGAAAAAGTTGACAGACCTGGAAATATTTTGTATAGCCTATGTCCGAACTCCTTGAAGGTCATAACCCCACTTTTATACTTTTGGGTTATGGAAGAGAGGAAGAATGTCATTAGGAGAGTAGTCGAAAGAAGTCAACTAATGGTTGGTTATGCTTTCTCTCTAATCTTTTATTCTTTCTTCATTTCTTATCGAAAGCACATCACAGCAGCTTTGTGTTTCTGATTATGTTATTTGCTTTAATATATAGAACTGATTACTAGCTGGGCTACCTATGCTGAGAGTTTACAATTATTTGAGAGTTCAATGGCAAAAACTTCGTTGGGGCACTTGCTTGGTGAGTAGAATCTCATCTATATTGTTATCTTCTACATTTATTTTTCAAAATTTTTTGATTTTTCTAAATCACCTATGGATGTTCAAGCCTTTTTTGAGAATTAACATATAATCATTGTCATGATCATTGAATGATGAATTTATCGGGACGAGGAAGTCAAACATAATGGTACAAGTATGGTAGATGAGATAAAATATAAATCATTTTGAAGGTTATTGTGACAATATGACTAAATTCAATGGGAAGGTCTCATCACCACATTAGCACGGTGATTATGGCTGAAGCAATTGTTTCCAGTGTCCTGCAGCAGCTCATTTCAATCATTGGTAAAGGGATACAACAGGAGGTGACGCTAGTCATTGGTGCTGAAAAAGAAGTTAAAAAGCTTAGGAACAATCTTCAAGCTGTGCTCATTGATGCAGAGGAAAGACGAGTGAAGGAGAGAAACGTCAGACTCTGGCTTCCCCTGCTGGCATCTCAGGTTCCCTTGCTTTTATCTTCGAGAGTTGTATTACCAGTTGAAATTTCAGTTGATGTCGGTCCAGTGGTAGTTCTCAGCCACCTATCATATAGGACAGTGGCAAGGACTTGAAACTGAAAATACTGAAACAGCTACAGGTTCAAAACCCTTTTTATTAAAATATTGACGCCTCAAATCATGGGATTTATATTGTCTCTCTTTTAACATTTTTATCACAATTGATTGCTGGAGAAAACAATTAAATTGCACAATAATTGAATCAAATTCTAATCAATTGTATACTTCAGAAGATTGGTGTATCATTTTGATGAGCAACCAAGGGGAAGGGTCTACCGTAGGAAGAAGTGTGGCAAGAAGCAGGGGAATAATTGCCATATAGGAGGTTAGAAGAATTTGTTATGATGGGACATGTGGCCTGAGGGGATTGGAGAGAGGAGAAATTCTGTTAGGAGTAAACTTAGGTGCCAGGAGGGAATAAAGAGGAAGAGGAGAAAAGGGAGAGGGGATTGAGAAAAGTTGATTAAGAATTGGGAAGGGAGGTGACTGACCCTCGAAGTCAGTCTTATCATTTTGTTTTCTCTTTTTATACTTAGCTTAATTTGCTGGATTCTCATTTGTGGATTATTGAGTGAACATGGTCTGGGTATAGTATTCGGATGTACTGATTTGCTGCCATTAATATAGAGATTCCTTGTTTTGGTTGTGACTTTGATTGGAACTGTAGCTAGATTGTGGTGTTATTTGATAAATTGCAGGTCAGGTTCTCATCACATTTGCAGCTTTATAAAGAACATTAAAATTTCTTAACAAATGACTTGGTAAGATTTTTTGGGAAAATGAAGGAAACCATTCAAGAATGAGGCCATTTTCTTCAGGATTCCTGGTTTTCAGCCAGAATCTCCCTTAGCCTTTCCTTTAATGGTTTGTTTGGGGGAAGCAATTGCTTGAATGAACTAGCTTCAATCAATCAAATAGGGGGATGTCTGATGTCTTAATCATACTATATAATACTCTCATTTATAATGCTTTCCTTGTTGAACATCAATTTAGGTGGTGTCACTGACATAAGTTCAGGTGTTCGTGTTCTGTCTTTTGTGCAGACTAAACTTTAGAAGGTGGATCAAATGCTCCAAGAATTTTTGCATCTCTGTAGAATACTCGACACAAATTTCATGTCAACCATCTTGCACAAGGAGCCTTTGTGCTGATAGAAGTGCATTTTCTAGCTGACTTCTAAGAGGGCTGCAACTCATCTTTCTCCCAAAATCATAGGACATTCATATACCATCTCTGCCTGTGGATGGGTCTTATCTTCTACATAGAAAGGCTGAATCCTTTTCCCAATCTCAATCCAGCTACAACCAGGGTTCTTCTTCAAACCAAGCTTTTTCATTTTTAATCTTAGCTTTCGTACTTCATCCCATTGCTTGACAGATGCATACATGTTCGACAAGACAATATAAGTTGATGGATCATCAGAGTCCTTCTCAATGAGCAATTTTGCAATCTTCTGTCCCAGTTCTCTATCTTGGTGCAGACGGCATGCAGAAAATAGTTTGCTTAACAGCCCAACATCCTCCTTAATCTCTGATGTGCTCTGTAGAATTTGGTAAGCTTCATGTTATCTTCCAGCACGTCCAAGAAGATCAATCAAGTACGAGTAGTGTTCAATTTCAGGCTTAATATTATACTCAGAGGTCATTTGACTGAAATAATCACAACCTTCATCAACCAATCCAGCATGGCTACAAGCTGGTAAAACTGCAAGGAAAGTGACACTGTCTGGTTTTGCATCGGATTTCTGCATTTCATCAAAAAGCTTTAAAGCCTCTAAAGCTTGACCATGAGACCCATAAGCAGTGATCATAGAAGTCCATGACCCAAGATCCCTCTTTGGTGATTTATTAAATACACTAAACGCTTCATCCACAGCACCACATTTAGCATACATGTCGAGGAGAGCCCCATGACTATTTCATTGGTTTCTAGCTCACTCTCAGCAATAAACTTGTGGAACTCTTTTCCCTTTTCTAAGGCTGCTAGCAGTGAACAAGCTAGTAAGACACTAGTGAATGTTACAGCATCTGGTTTTACACCACTTTCTTTCATGTCACCATAGAGAGCAAGGGCTTTAAAATAATCACCAGCTGTCACATATCCTGAAATCATAACATTCTAAGAAACTACATTTGTCTTGCTCATCTTATCAAAGACATTTTCAGCTGAGCTAACACTTCCACATTTAAAATAAAGATCGATAAGTGAGCTATTTATAAAAATATCAGCTTGTATTCTGTTTCTTATTAAATATCCGTGTACGAATTTACCATGTTCAAGTTTGGCTGATCTAGAACATGACATTAATATGCAACTCATTGTAGTAAGAGTTGGCTTAACTCCTTCCTCATTCATCCTCCTAAAAAGCTCAATGCATGATTTGCTATCACCTTTTGAACTGTATCCTGCTATCAACGCATTCCAAGCAACAACATTTTTCACTGGCATTTGGTCAAAAACCTCTCTAGCCATCTCCAAACAACCACATTTGCCATACATGTCCACAAGAGCAGAACCAACATAACTATAAAAAAAAATCCCATCTTTCACAAATTCTTCATGAATCTCCTTCCCTCTTTCCAGGTCCAAAAGCCTTGCACACGATGAAATAACCATCGTTAACGTCTCCAAATTGGGCTCAAACCCAGAATTTCTCATGTTCCCAAACAACTCCAACAGTTTCTCAGCTTGACCCTCCTAGTAATAACAAGAAATGACAGTATTCCAACTTGCAACATCTCTATCAGACATTTCATCAAACACCTTAATCCCATAATCAAACCTTCTGCACTTTGCATACATTCCCACAAGAGAGCTAGCGACAACAACATCCAATACAACCCAGTTCTTATCAATTGGGTATGAATCAATTGGCCATAACCAACTCTCCCTAATCCACTACAAGCCTTTAACACACTCGGGTATGTGTAACTATCGGGTTTCAAAAATGGGTGCAGCACTAACCTATCAAAAACCTCAAGGGCTTCAATGAACATATAGTTTTTAGCATAAGCAGCCATGAGGCCATTCCATAAAGAAAGGTCTAACGAATCTTCTAGGGTTTTGAAAATAAGCTTGGCATAGTGATGGTAGTGGCAAGAGAAATTATTATACAAAATTTCCGTAAGGAAATATCTCAAATGTGGATAGGGCTAAAAGATTACAACTTAAAGAATCAGAAAAACCTCCTCGGTTTTCCTTTATGAATCATGCTACATCAACAATCTCTTTTCATAAACTTTCTCTCACAATGACAGCTCATAATTACTCGAACCTAATTTATTAGGTGAGATTCAAGTGGAACCCATTATGAACTGACTAATTAAGAGTTGTCACGTCAGAATTGTGAGAGGAAGTTTTTCCGAAGAGATGGTAGGTGCGGCATTTTCCTTTACTAAATTTCAGAAAAGATGAAGGAGAGTGGTCAAATGAGGATTCCTACAACCATCTTTCAAGGCTATGGAATTACAGAGGCAACACAAGCTTTCCCGACTGGAGGTTGTCCTTAACCAAGCTCAAGGACTTAGCACTCTTTACATGCAGAAAATGTAAGCATTTGCCTCCCTTGGGAAAACTGTCATCGCTTTAATGTTTAGAAATAAAATGGATGGATAGTTTGAGAAGAGTGGGTAACGAATTTTTCGGTATAGAAAGTGTTGGCATATCTTTATCTTTTATTGTCTTCCCCAAATTGAAAAAACTTTGTTTTGGCATACGAATAAATGAGAAGGATGAGATTATGAGATTAAAAGAAATGGAGAAGAAGAAGATATTACAATGATGCCCCAAATTGAAGGCACAACCAAACAACAATGAAAGATATTTATGATTGTTGGTTGTAGGGGAAAATGAGAGGTAATATATTTTATTTTTGTTTAAGTAAATGCATCCAATGTCTGATTGAATATTTAATCAATTATTCAAATTTCATGTGTTTAAATAATATTTATTCATAGATTTAGAGTTAATTTAATGGTCCAAATTCAACCGTTAGTAAATTTTTACTTCCCATTTCCAAGTTAATTGACTAATTATTATTATATTCTTTGATATTGACTTTTCATTTCATTGTCTTTACATTGAAATGAAAGAGATTGGTCTTCAGTTGTTTTAATAAAAATAGGAATACAATTTCTTGAATGTAATTTTAGCTTTATAAAATTAATTTTATTTCATCAAAATTTTATTCTCTTATTACTTATTTAAATTTTATTGTAAAATCAAAGAATGCTTTGGCCATTAATACAAGATAAGGTACATGGGCCTTGTGCTAGAGATCAGTATTTGCAGAGTTAATTAATTAAATTAATAAACATCTTAAATATATATTAATTAATTTATACTAAGGCATGTATTTGTATTGTTCTTCTATTTATAGTTTCAATGCAGCATTTTGTCCTCTGGAAGAAGGAAGTAATGGGTGTTATGAGGAGAGTAGTCGGAACGAGAACTCAGTTAATGGTTGGTTGTGAATTTCTCTTTTCTTTCTTCATTTCTGATGTTTAAAAGCACTTCAAAACATTGTGTTCTAATTTAATTATTTCTTTAATTTGCAGAACTGATTTACTATTTGGGCTACCTATCCTGAGAATTTACAATTTCATTTCACCGATCAGTAGAGAAAATACTTCAGCTCAAAGCAATAAAGGACCAATTTTTATTGGTCAATCGCGGTAACTTCATTGAGGCAATTCTGACAAAAAGCTATTTTGCCTGATGAAACAAGTGCTAAATCTTTTGGTTTTCACGCTTTCTTGGTAAGCAGCAACTCATCTATATTTTCCAGCTGCCCTTTTTATATTAAAACAGAGACAATCCTTGTAGTGGAAGTGTATGATTTCTGTTAGTCCCACATTGCTTCCTTTAATTTCTATGATTTTGGGTCCAATGAATTAAGAAAATTATTACTACAAGACAACTGAATTTTTAATTCTGACAAAAATATCTGAATATTATATTAAACATGATTTTAGATATTAAACATCATTTTTCTTCATTCCAAGGCATGCATTCTCTATTTTTAGTTTCTAATTTCATCAAATTTTCAGTTATGGAAGAGAAGAAGAATGGCTGTAAGAGGCTATTCGGAAGAACACCAGTAATGGTTTGTTATGCTTTCTACTATTTCTTCAGTTCTCTATGTTTAAATAGAAAGCATGTCACTGCTTTGTGTTTCTGATTCTGTTATTGACTCTAATATGCTGAAGTGATTTACTGTTTCAATGGCTTCCTATATATGGTGAGAGTTTGCAGTTTCTGTCTCTCATCTATGTAGGAAATACTCAAGGGCAAAGCAGTAAAGGACCATTTTTAATAGTCAATGACAGCATTTGTAACAAGAAGAAACTTTTGCCTGGTGAAACAAGTGCTGAATGTTTTGTTTTCACATTTCTTGGTGAGCTGGCATCAAATCTATATTTCTATCTCCTACATGATTCTTGAATTAGCATTATCACTGTCATTCATCCTTTTCATTGTCTGATAATGATAATTTCGTGATCTTTTCCTTTTTACTAAGGCATACAAATCTCTATTTGATCACAGTTCCAAATAGGTGCCTTCGAACAAACGTGGAAGAGATGAAGGACAAATGTAGGACAGTATGTACTCAGAAGGATTCAAACGGTTGGTTCTGCTTTTTTAACTTCTCTGTTTTTTGCTTCATGTTTAAATGAGAAAGTACATCACAGCATTATTAATGTTACTATAAATTCTTTAGTATTTATATAGAATTGTTGGATTGCTCTTTTTTCAGGTAGCCTTCTCTACTTAGCAGGGACATTGAAAAGCCATGTTTTCTCTAGCTAATTAAACTTGATTTTGATATGTTCATTTTGATGCAGAGAAAGGGAAGTTTAAGATGTCATGAGTTTGCTGAAGAATGAAGGTTTTATTATGATGCATTAAGAAGTTTAAGAATCAAGGTTTGTCATCAATTGTTAATGTTTTCTTGGTTCTTGTTGCATTTTTTTTCTTGATCAAATTGTTACCTATATTGAGAAAAAACTTCTGTTTGAGCTTATTAAAACCAGGGATCAAATTTGATCAACAGGAAGACTTTGTATCATACTGGAAAACAGTGACAGGCTAGGAAATATCTGATGTATCCGTGCTTCTTGGAGGTCATAATCTGACTTTTCGTACATCATTTTTCTGGTACTGCTTAATCTGTTTTTTAATTTAAACTGAAAGTCGTATAATTTTCAATTTATAGTTTCATATTTCAGCTTTCTCAATGATGGTTCCTGTTCTTTCTTTATTTCTTGATTTCTAGTTAGGAAGCATATCACAGTTTTATGTTTATTTCTTTGATGTAAGTGAAGAAGAGATCATCAGAGTAAATACTGGAGGTCATAAAAATGCAGAACCAGTTTATCTCATTTATGTAAGAAAACTTTGCATGATGAAACAAGGGCTCAATCCTGTTATTAACATTTCCAGCTGATCCACATTTGTATCTCCTGCATGCTTCTTGCATATAACGAATTGTTATTGATAATAGATAATTGAAACAGAGCATTTTGGATCAAGTGAAAAACACATTTAGTAATAGCTTTCACAACAGTAATTTTGGTAAATAGAAAACTCCTTTTCTAACTTTTGTAAAGGATTTAATTATAAGACAAATTTTTCAGCTGTTTTGGGCATTTTCAAAGATAAATTTTTTAAAAACAGAAAACTGTTTTTCAAAACAGAGCTTTAAGAAATTTGTGCCTAACATATTTCAAAGAATGATGTCAAATAGCTCCGTTAAATAACTGTCAATGCCTTTCTCTTATGCCAGGGAGCTTCCCCAGTTGCTCTGGATTCCCTTCATGAAACACTTGGATGAGTCACTGAGGTTGGTTTTCTCAATTTTTCTAGCTTGAGGATATTGAAAATTTAAAAAGCCATTTACTTCTTAAGAGATCTTTACCTGTTTATGTTAGTTTTGATGCACTGAATTGAGTTTAAATGCCATGAAAGTCATGAAGAATCAATGTTGAAATATGATCAATATATATGACAGAAGTTGGCAGAATGAAGTTGGAAATATCTACTATGAGATTAATCATATGTTATATTTTTTGTGCGATTATTTTCTTTTTACTAAGGCATGCAAATTTCTTTTTGGTCACATTTTCAAATTTCAACCATTAAACCAATATGGAAGAGAGGAACTTATTTTCTGAAAAGGACTCAACTGGTTGGTTGTGCTTTCCCACTTCCCTGGTTTTTCTTCATGTTTAAACTAGAAAACATGTCACAGCATTATTAATAGTTCTCTAAATTCTTTAATTTCTATGCAGAACTGATTGATATATCTGTCATTTGCTTTCTCTTACTTTTCTCAGGGAGCTTCTCAAATTACGGTGGATTCCCTCAATGAAATCATTTGATGACTCATTGAGAAAGGCTTCTTTTCTTTGTTATCTCTATCTACTAAGGGGGGACGTTGAAAAGCCATGTTCTCTCTATTAACATTTAATTTTGTTGCAGGCAGTCAAGTTTAAGATGTCATGAATTTGCTCAAGAATCAAGGTTGAAATATGAAACCAATTTGCAGTCTTTTCCTAAACCAAGAGTGTTATATGTACTAAGAAATTTGTTCTATTTGAGCTTATTGAAAGCAGTTATTAATTTCCCTTTACAGGACTTTTAAGTATTTTATAACCCCAATTCAAGTACGTGCTTTTTTTTTTTTTCCCCAAATTCCTTTTTACTAAGATATGTAATCTTCTATTTAAGGTTGCATGTTTCATCAAAATATTTACTGTTCCAGAGATGCATTTTGCGGCATGGGAGAGAGGAAGAATGGTTTTTGCAGAGTTGCCGAACAAACTCAATTAAGGGTTGGTTATGCTTTCTCAATTTTGCTCTCTGTTCTTTCTTTAATGCTTGATGTTTAATGTGAAAGCATATCTGAAGAAAATTGGTTCTGTTATTTCTGGATGGTTACTAACTATGCTGATAATTTCAATTTTCTGTTAAACATTTGAGGTTGCGACAATGGAGGACAAAATTACATCATGCACTTAAGAAAACTTGATTGAGGCACTTGCAAGCAAAAAGAAAATTTACAAGATGAAACAATTGCTCAAAACCTGGTCTTCACCTTTACTTAGAAAACTAGCATTTCATACTGTTTAAATTTTGTCTGGCTTGGAAAATGTTTAAGTGCTTTTTTCTGTCATTTTGTACTAAAGCATGTAATTTTCTATTTATACTTTCAAATTTCACCAAATAGTCATTGTTTCAGTGCAGCATTCTGCACTATGGAGGATAATAGGTGTTAGAAGAGTAGTTAGAGGAACTTAGTTAATGGTTGGTTGTCAATTTCTCTCTTCTTTCTTCCTTGCTGATGTTTAAAAGCACTTCACAACATTGTGTTCTGATTCAGTTATTTTTATAATATGTAGAGAGGCAAGTTTAAGATGTCATGAATTGTTACCTATATTAAGACATTACTTCTGTTTGAGCTTATTAATATCAGGGATCAAATTTGATCAACAAAACTTTGTATCATGCTGGAAAATAGTGACATGCCAGGAAATATCTGATGTATCCGTGCTTCTTGGAGGTCATAATCCCACTTTTCATACATCAATTTTCTGGCAATTTTTAAGCTCTTTCCTTATTTTAGCTAAAAGCTGTATAATTTTTAATTTATAGTTTCATATTTCATCAAATATTTATCTTCTCAGTCCAGCATTTCACCTTATCAAGGAGAGGAGGAATTAATGGCATTAAAAGCGTGGTCCAGAGAACTCAATCAGTGGTTGGATATGCTTTCTCAATGCTGCTTTCTGTTCTTTCTTTGTTTCTTGATTTCTAATTAGGAAGCATATCAGAGTATTATGTTTATTTCTTTGATGTATGTGAAGAAGTGATCATCAGAGTCACTACTGGATGCTATAGAACTGCAGGACCAATTTATCTCATTTAAGGAATGAAACATTGTTGAAGCGCTTGTAAACAAAAAGATAATTTGCCAGATGAAACAACAGTTCAATCCTGTTCTTAACATTTCCTGGTTTGTATCTCCTGCATGCTTCTTGCATAGAGCAAATTGTTATTGATAGTAGATACTTGAAACACAGCATTTTCCAAAAATTCTGGAACTTTGAAGAAAGGAAGAGTGGTTTTCGGGAAGTAGCCAAAAGAACTCTATTAATGGTTGGTTATGCTTTCTCAACGTTGTTTCTTTTCTTTCTTTAGTTCTTTATGTTTAATTGAAAAGCCCATCACATCATTTTGTAACTGGTTCTGTTATTTCTTTGATGGTTGCTGACTATGCTGATAATTTCAAATTTCTATTAAGCATTTGAGGCCGTAGGAATGGAGGGGAGAATTACAACATTCACTGAAGAAAATTTGACCGAGGCATTTGTAAGGAAAAAAAAAAAATTTGCCAGATGAAACAAGTGTTCAATCCCTAGTCTTCAACATTCACTTGGTAAGCTAGCATTTCATGCTGTTTATTTCTATCTTCTACTTTCTCTTGAAAAAGAAGTCAGATTGAGGTACTTGTTACATTCCTTTTCTTGATCAAGTTTTGCATATATTAGGACATTTGTTTTCGTTGAACTTACTGAAACCAGGCATCTGATTCCCGTAGCAGAACTTTATATCATACTGGAAAAAATTGTCCTTCTATTATATTAAGGCTGGAAAGGTCATAACCCCACTTTCTTTACATCAATTTTCTGACAATGTTTAAGTGCTTTTCTTTCTTTTATACTAAGGCATGTAATATTCTATTTATGGTTTCAAATTTCATCAAAAATATTTATTGTCTGATCTGTGCAGCATTTTGCATTATGGAAAAGGTGAAGAGTGGCATTAGGAGAGTGGTTGAAAGAACTCAGTCTCAGTTGATATTTTGTTTTGCTTTATCACTATTCTTCATCCTTTCTTCATTTCATAATATTTAAATAGAGAGTTCATCAGAGCCTCGGGTTTCTGATTTTGTTTAATGTGCAGAACTGATTAACTAGTTGTCTGCCTAAGCTGAGAATTTCCAAATTCTGTAACTGATTCGCTGAGGAAATACACAAGGGAAAAGCAATGAATTAATGATCAATAATAATCATCGTTCAATGTCAGAAATTTCTGTGGGACACTTGTAACAGAATGCAAATTTGCCCGTTGAAACCAGTGCTACATCTTTTGGATTTCACATTTTCAAGGTCAGTACATCTGATATATGTTTCTATCTCCTACTTGCTTCTTGAAAAGAACAAGTTGTTGTTGACAATACCCAAGTTGGTTTTAAGTATTAGCATCATCAATGTCAGTTGTATTCCTGTAAATAATTGTTGAATTTTCATGTCACATTGTGCTTTTGCGTCAAATGTTCATGGAATGATAAATTGATCAAGATTCAAGACAAGGAATTAAGAGTTTAAATGGAAGGTTTAATCATATTCTTGTTAACTGCTCTCTTATTTTGAAATTTCTGGAGATAATGTGTTTAAGAAATTTAACTTTTATCTACACACACACACACACATACTCACACTTTATTTTCTGTTTTCATCCAATGAAATGTTAAGATTTAAGAGGGTGCATTTTAAATCTAGATAGTGAGAGAAACACATCCAGTAACGGCTTTCAAAAACTAATTTTGACAAAAACACTTCAAGTAACAATTCATTTTTTCGATTGATGTCAAACAGGTTTGTTAAACTATTGCTAATGCCTTTCTCTTATGCCAGGGAGCTTCTTCAATTGCACTGAATTCCCCATATGAATTACTTTTATGGTTCATTGAGGTTTGTTTTCTGAATGTTTATGCATCAAGCATTTTGAAAATTTAAAATGCCGTTTACTTCTGATCAAAACTTGACCTTTATATGCTAGTTTAGATGCAGTAAATTATATGACAGATGTTGGCAGAATGAGGTTGTTTTTGCACTTCCTTTAAGGGCTTAAAAGTTATTGAAACAAGGCATCAGATTTCACGTACAGAACTTTCTATCATCCTATATATATCTTCTATCAGTTGTTTCAACCACTTTTTGTGATACAATTTTTAAAAACAGAACATTGTTCTTAAGGTTATATTAGTGTTTGAAGAGAATTATATCAGCCTTACAAAATTTTATTGTCTTTTGTTTTTCAAATTCATTAGTTGAAAACAAGTTATAAAATGATGCTAAACAGGGCTAAATGCATTGACTTTATCTTACCATTGAATTCCTCTTTTGTCAGGGAACTACAATTGGAGAACTGAATTTAATCTTTGAATTCTTTTGATGGCTCATTGAGGTTTGTTCTGATTATTTTTCTATGTCATTAGGTATTGAAAATTTAAAATGCCGCTTTCTTTTTTATGAAACTTGCTTTTGAAATGTCCTTAGATATCAAAATAATCAAATTTAAAATCTCATGAATTTCTTGAAGAATCAATGTAGAAATACTATTCATTTATGACAGAGTAGCGTGGGCAGAATGAGTTATTTTTTTTTTTATTTTTTTTTACTTAGAGATTACTTGAATTGAAACTTTGAGCTAAATTTCAGTTATTGATCAGAAAATGAAGGATAGACATAAATGCAGGAGACGTCATTGATCAATTTGTGATAAAAGGGGAATAGGTCTGATGAAACAGGTAATTTAATTTGTTTAATTACACTTTTTTTATTTTCAAAAGGCAACTATTCCTTTCGTTGGCCCAAAGTTTAAGACATTAGTTGTCATTGAGCTTACGTGAAACTAGGCACCAAATTCCCTTTTCTTGACAGAACTTTGTATCATTTTAGAAAAAGTTTAATGAGAGGCCTAGAAATATTTTGTATAGCCTATGTTCGAACTCATTGAAGGTCATAACCCCACTTTTTATACTTCAGTTTTCTGATAATGTTTTAAGTTTTTTTTTTTTAAATTTATACTAATGCATGTTATTTTCTATTTTTAGTTTCAAATTTCATCAAATTTTCGGGTTATGGAAGAGAGGAAGAATGTCGTTAGGAGAATAGTCAAAAGAACTCAACTAATGGTTGGTTATGCTTTGTCTCTAATCTTTTATTCTTTCTTCATTTCTTATGGAAAATTTATCATAACTTTGTGTTTCTGATTATGTTATTTGCTTTAATACATAGAACTGGTTACTAGCTGGGCTACCTGTCCTGAGAGTTTACAATTGTGTGAGAGTTCAATGGCAAAAACTTCGTTGAGGCATTTGCTTGGTGAGTAGCATCTCATCTATATTGTTATCTTCAACCTTTTTTTTTTCAAAATTTTTTGAGAATTCTAAATCACCTATGGATATTCAAGCCTTTTTGAGAATTAACATATAATCATTGTCATATACAATCCTATAAACAATACTTCTATTTCCTTGTCACAGTGTGCTTTGCAACAAATGATCATGGCATGACGAATTTATCAGGACGAGGAAGTCAAACATAATGGTACAAGTATGCTAGATGAGATAAAATATAAATCATTTTGAAGGTTATTGTGACGATAGGACTAAATTCAATGGGAAGGTCTCATCACCATATTAGCACGGTGATTATGGGTGAAGCAATTGTTTCCGGTGTCCTACAGCAGCTCACTTCAATCATTGGTAAAGGGATACAGCAGGAGGTGACGCTAGTCATTGGTGCTTAAAAAGAAGTTAAAAAGCTTAGGAACAATCTTCAAGCTGTGCTCATTGATGCAGAGGAAAGACGAGTGAAGGAGAGAAACGTCAGAGTCTGGTTTCCCCTGCGGGCATCTCAGATTCCCTTGCTTTTATCTTTGAGAGAGTTGCATTTCCGGTTGAAATTTCAGCTGATGTCGGTCCAGTGGTAGTTCTCAGCCACCTATCATATAGGAGTTGAAACTGAAAATACTGTAACAGCTACAGGTCCAAAACCCTTTTTATTAAATTGTTGACGCCATCAAATCTGGCAACAAACACCACCATGAGATATTGTAAAGCAAAACAACATTACAAAGCTTTCTGCCTAATTCTTATCAAGAGTACCAAATAAACTATTGAATAATGATATGAGGAGTGGCTTGTATATGAATCATTTATTCTTACCAAGAGTACCAAATAAACTATTGAATAATGATACAAGGAGTGGCTTGTACATGAATCATTTAATCAACAGTAACGCTACAAACGCCGAAAATTGGTACCGAAAATTTGCGTCGAAATATTGAATTTTGGAAATACAAATAAGTCGGGGCGTAGCATCTGACTCGAACGTCGCCATGTAAGACATAATAGAAGACTTCTGTAAATGGACAGCCATCCTACATTTTCGGACGGCCGTCTATACTTCCTGGATAGTCATTCATTCAGGAATGGATGACGGTCCATATAACATATATAAAAATAAACTAAAAATAAATGGAGAACCGTCCAAATACCATGGACATGTGTCTCTTTAATATGGATGGTCGTCTATATAATTTGGATGGCCATTGATCGTGACAAGTCATGAAGCCATTTGTTTGGACCCAAACACTTGTCGCTGTTGCGAGTTCTATCAAGAAGGCTGGATTTAGCTTGGCATCTTCTTGAAATGCAAAATGAACATGACCACGTCGATACCCGAAAAGGGTAACTATTACTCGACTGCCTAAACCTTTATGATAAGACGACCGGCCCTTACCAAATATAGTAAGTGCTGATTGGAGCTTAGAAATTGCAGCAACTGGGAACTTCTTCCTCTGAGCTGGCAGCTCCGTTATTTGAGTGGGAACTGATATTGTAAGCCCCTCTTCTTTTTCCTCCTAACAGGATTTGGTTAAGATTTCTTCGGTATCATCTTAATCTTCAACTTTCTTTCTCCAGTTGAAGTATCTCCTGGAGATATGACGACCGGCTCTTACCAAATATAGTAAGTGCTGATCGGAGCTTAGAAACTGCAGCAACTGGGAACTTCTTCCTCCGAGCTGGCAGCTCCATTATTTGAGTGGGAACTGATATTGTAAGCTCCTCTTCTTTTTCCTCACATGATTTGGTTAAGATTTCTTCCGTATCATCTTCATCTTCAACTTTCTTTCTCCAGTTGAAGTATCTCCTGGAGAATGAGAAAGAAGAGTCATGAGGGGTTTTGGCCATGATTGTCTTCATTTTTGACAGCAAAAGACTCAAAGAAAGTTCAAGTCTTGAGAGACTTGTGAGACTTGAAGAGAGAAGAAATCAAGTAGTAAAGATGAAAAAGAAAGAGAGATTAATCACGTTTATTTCTTGTATGTAACGGTTATGTAGGGTGAATTTATTCTTGGTTGTATATTTTTTTGTCAGCCCTGTGGGACTAAAGGGACTTGTAAAAGGATCCTGACAAAAGGAAGGTGAACAGCCCCACCTAACTGAGCACCAGGAATTAAGCACCAGGAATTAAACAAAGGAATTGGAGAAGGAGCTTAAAGACAAGAAAGGGCGATGGAAAATAGACAAAAGAGAGGTGATATAAAACAGTAGTGGAATCTGGGGAGACAATAGCCTTGTGCTGTTTCTTTATCAATGTGTGGGAGACAATAGCCTTAAGGACTCATGTGTGGACTATCGTCCACATTAGATAGACGGGCGTCCATCCAGTGCGCTTATTTGAACGCCGTCCATATTAAAGGGATGCCCATTCCTAGTATTTTGATGAGAGTCCATTGATTTTTTATTTACTTTTAAATATTTTTTATGGACCGTCATCCATTCCTGAATGAATGGCTATCTAGAAAGTATGAACGGCCGTCCGAAAATGTTAGACAGTTGTCCATTTACAAAAGTCTTCTATTGTCCTATGTGCTGATGTCCGAGTCAATACCACGTATTTTGGTGCAAATTTTGGGTATCAATTTTCGGTGTACATAGCATTTTTGTTTAATCAAACACTCTAAGTGCTCGATTGAGAGGAAGTAGCCTGATTTACCCTTCCTTTCAACAATTTATCAACTGGGGTTTGCCCGGACTTGTTACAAATCTGCACATGTTATATATCCAAACTCCAGACTTCTATTCATAAATTACGAAGTTACATGAAAGATAATAATTTAATCACTCAGTCAAAAGATCCCTCAACTTCGATCCCAAAACAGAACTCCCACGTTAACTCGCAATCAAAGAACCCCCACCTGACAAATCCCTGAAAGAAAACAGTAAATCAGGTAAGTTCACTCTGAACCAAGCACTTGACTTCTTTGATTACATGATGGATATCCAACCCACTCCTCCGATATCATCATTCAATATTTTTTTCGGAGCATTTGCTAAGAAATACGCTCTTTCGCTCTATAATTATGTTGGATTTTCACAATTTAGATTATTGTTCTTCTATGTGAATGATTTTTGAAAGATAATCTACTACAGAGAAAATAACTTATATAAGATAATTAAAAGATATTGTGGAATGGGTTGTTTAGGATTTTGACCTGTTATTTTTTCGGGCTAGCTCTATAACGATTTTGGCCCAATCGGAGTTGAGCCCGTTTAGCTTATTGTTCTTCTATAAATGGATTACAAGACGTTTATATTTAATGAAAAATGTTACATTCATAACCTCTTCGCACAATCTCAACGTGACAGTTAGTATTAAGTCTCACTTGATAAATTGCGGTTGATCAATTGCGAGCTATCATATTGAGGTTATGAGAAGAGGTTAGCAAGGGTGTAGCATTACTTTATATTTATATATGCTCACAAAGTAATATTAATATATTGGTTTTGATTTTTCAAGATTTTGAAAACATGATATACCTCTATTATCCATTTTATCAATTCTTCTCTTCTATATAAAACTGCATTGAAATAGTTGAATCATTCAAATTGAGTCTATTTTGCACATGTTATAAGAAATATATATGCTCTTTTGCTCTACAATTATATAGGACGTAAATAAATCTCTTTTATTTATATTTTCATAAGTTTTATTTTATTATAAAGAAAATCTACTATAGAGAAGAAAAAATAACTTAGGTAATAAGATTATTAAAAGATCGAAAATGATAGAGCCACCGAAGGTTGCGTACCAAATCTGTGCACCAAATGACGTGACAAAATCCTGACGTTGATTAATATTAACTGATAATAAATAAACGGTCAGGATTTTGTCACGTTATTCGGTGCACAGATTCGATGCGCAACCTTCGGTGCTGTAGCATTACTCTTAAAAGATATCATGTGGAATGGGCTGAACAGATTTTCACCTATTATTTTTTCTAATTTTGGCCCAATGTGAGTTGATCCCCATTTAGCTGATTGTTCTTTTATAGATTGATTACAAGACGTTTATATTTATACATGCTCACAAAATAATATTAGTAGATTGTTTTGATTTTTCAAGATTTTGAAAACATGATATACCTCTACTATCAAAGGAATTCACTAATCCATTTTATCAATTCTTCCCTTTTATAAAACTCCATTGAAATATTGGAATCATTCGAAATGAGTCCATTTTACGTTCTCTCAATCTAGATCCCTTTCTTCTATGTGGCTTGATTTTGATTTTGGCTTTCTTACTTCTTAGTTCTGATTTTGATTTTTAGTAGGTATCGTAGGCTCAAAAAAGCTGGGATCCCACACATATTTATTTTATTTTGAATTTTTTTTTTTCTTTCAAATAGACCAAATCTACCATTAATATTGATGTAGATATTGAACTTTTGAAGAAAACTTTCTGCCTGTTTTGCTATCATGATTTATAATTATATGTATGCTTAGAAGTTGTATTTACCATTTTTTGGTATGATTATTTAAAAAAATAATCAACAAGTAAAATGTGACTTATATTCAAATTCTATATCAATACAAAGAAATCTTTCACTATTAAATTGAATTCTGAATTAGAATTGTTTTTGTATTTTAAATCCTGGAAAATTAGGATGCTTGTGAGATATAATATCAATTCTATGTGAGTTGAACTATGATCCTTTTGAAACAGTCATAGTATGCTCATCGATCTCTCGTTGGTTGTTCCCGAATTTCATTATCTGTAGCCATAACTTTTTGTACTGGTTTATCCTGACACATTACTAATAAGTCTTTTGGTGTTGATCAACTTATTAATAGATTGGTAGGAGTATTGTTCCGATAGATAACTCTTTATGTTGTTCATTATATATCTAAGCTCAATAATTTACTTCCATCTACTTGAATGCTCGGTCTCAACTCTGGAGAAAGAACTAGTAATAGACATAAAACCATCCGTCCGAGTTTTATTAAGTTCTTGATGGTATTTGTATTCTTTTTTCAAAAGAAACTAAAACAATATCTTTATTTTAGTATTCACAAACGTTAAGATCTATTGAAGATATCACAAAAGATCCATACATAAAATGTTGAGCATAAACAATTAATGTATCTATTTTAATTTAATTCATTCTAATATTATATATATAAAGTATAATTAGAAAATTTTTATGGGAAAAAAAATCAAAGATTCTCGGAAGTAGGCATAAGCTTATGAGTTAATTTCTAAATCACCCCTAAACTTTCTAATAATTTTATTTGAAAAATCAACACTAAACAAAACACCCCTTGTGAGTTGTGCCTAGAGATATATTTATTTCCAACTACCAAACGTCACCATTGATCATCATCGTACACCACCACAAATTCAATCGGAAAAATTCACAAAACAAAAAAAAAAATAGTACGAGGCCATAA